TCATAAAATTAAAACACTACCTTGGCATCACCAAGGATGTCCCCCAAAGAGAGCCAATTGGAACTCGAGCTTCCGGGTAAAAACAAAGCCCCTGAAAGGGACGTCACAACACAATCCCATGTGTACATGTAGCACCGCTATCTGCCCACACTGCTGCATGTAACTCATTTGCATGAGGACACGTTAGATTATACCAAAGAAGCACAATCAGAACACTTCCATAGGACAAATGGCCTGGTTTCTTCAAAATGACTGATGCCATAGGAGCTCTAGTGGTGTAGTGGGTATAAGGTGGGCTCGTAACCCTTGCTAACTAAAGGTCTGAAGTTCAAAACCACTAGCTGCTCCATGGGAGAAAGACGAGGCTTTCTCGTCCCTCCCATGCAGTCTTGGAACCCCACAAGGGCAGTTCTTCTGGTGACCCCATGATGTTGGGATCTCATCATTCCATTGTGAGCCACAGGTTTTTTCAATGGCTGATATTTTGGAAACAGGTCATCAGGCCTTTCTTCCTAGATTGTCTTAGTCCGGGAGCATCACTGATACCTGTTCATCACCCTAGCAAACCCACAGCCTCCAATGACAGACCAGGGATGGCTGCACAGGAGGTAGGTGATTGGCTGCGGACTGACCTGGGCCTCCCACATGGAAGGTGAGAATTCTTCAAATAAGCAGCCAGATGGAAATAAAGAAGGGAGAGAGGGACCTTGTGATGGGTTGCTGTTAGGGTCGGGTGCCGTCGAATCAGTCCCATGTCATAGCCACCATCCTCACAATTGTTTTGCTTGAGCCCATTGTTGTAGCCACTGTGCCAATCCATCTCATTAAGGGTCTTCCTCTTTTTCAATGGCCCGCTACTTGGCCAAGCATGATGTCTGTCAATTTGTCATACCTGTGTATTGCTGTGATACTAGAAACGATGTCACTGGTATGTCAGATACCAACAGGGTCACCCATGGTGGAGAGGTTTCAGCCAAGCTTCCAGAGTAAGACAGATTATGAAGAAAGAATGGACTGTCCACTTCGGACGGATCGCCATTGAGTCGGTCCCCACCCACAGCTACCCTAAGTATAACAGGACAAAGCACTGCACGCTCCTGCGCCATCTGTCAGGAGCTGGCAGTGTTTCTAAACTACGCATACGGTTTTCAGTGGCTCCTTCCTCTTTTTCTGTTCTTAATCTGAAGCCCCGCTGAAAGCTGCTCTCTTCTGGTGACCCTGCGGGCATTTGAAATATCAATGACCTAGCTTCCAGCATCACAGCCACACACAAGCCACCACAGTACTGCACACTGACAGACAAGTGGTCTGGGTCTTCTTGTTCTACTGTGATGAAAATATATACGTAAGCAACTTAACAACTTCTCCTCGAAAGCTTGCGTGAGATAGATTGCATTCCTAAATTTGTGCAAATGTTCTTGCCATCCTATTCCATATCCTTTCACCACCATGAACAGGGACTCAATGTCCTCTTAGCAAACCTGCCTCTTGTCCCTTCCTCATACCCCTCTTTCGTGTCTACCTATTGGCTTATTTCACATAAACAAGATAGTATTAGTCCTTCTGCAATTAACTTATTTCACTCAGCCCGATGCTTTCAACACTTATAAACCTAAGCAATCCCTTAAGATCCCTTCTAATGCATGAAGCCAGGTGAAGCTTGCTGGCTGATCCACAAGACGCCCAGGTGCTGCTACATCCTGCTAACACCTGGTGGTACACAGGAGAAAACTGAGAGACACCCAGATCCCCAGGGACAACAGGCATCTAAGAACTCCCACCTGCCTCAAGCAGGGTCCTTCCAGATGCCAACACCTTAACCTGCCCATCCTCACTCTCCCACCCAAGTTACTGCCACCAAAAGCAGAGTCCAGGGACCTTGGTTCCCTGGGAAATTTTCACCATAGTGGAACACCCAGAATGGCCAGAATGGGATTTCCTCTGCAGATGGGTTCCCCCACCCCTGTACTCCCCAAAGGAGGAGGAGGATTTCCCAATGGGCTGGCAGGGTAGTCTTCCATGTCTGCACCTCCCACAGCAGAAATCCCCTGGGAGAAGGCTTGTCTGAGGTTCCCGGGGGCCACCCAGCCGTGCAACTGGACACATATACTTTGTAGGCACTGGTTTCCAACAGATAAATGTAATCAAGGTTTATATGCTCAGAGAAGCCAACAGGATGGGATTGTTTCACTTGAAAGATCAGAAGAAAATTGTAACTAATGTTGTGGAAAATTACTTTGATATTGCTTTCTTGGTGCCGAATCACAATTAGGCTGCTGTGAGCAGTACAAGGGAAGAATAAATATGAATAGTAACAAATCAACACAAACAGCCATGTCAGGAGCGCTTTGCTCAGGAAGAATAACCTAGGCATTACATAAAAGTTTTCTCATTTTGGCTTAAAGTGCCTTACATGGAGAACTCGATGGTCCGCCCACTACCTGGCACCAGCAGAAGGTGGTCCAGCCCAACTCAGGACCCAAGGGCCCAGCCTTCTGGTTACCTGATTCTACAGTGTGGGTGTCACCCTCCCAATTCAGGAAGCGCTCACCTCAGCTACCCACTGAGCTGCTAACCATGAGGCCAGCAGTTCTAACCTATCAGGCGCTCAGAGGGGGAAAGATGAGGCTTTCTGCTCTTGTAAAGATTTATATACACTGTCCTCTAAGGTTGCTGTGAGTGAAAATCACCTCAATGGCGCCTCAGGCCCCTGCCCTGACCAAGCCACAGTTCCCCTCCCAGCTGGCCATCACAGACCTCCACCCTCTCTCCTAGGCTTGTTCTGCAGTAAGTACTGACACCCACATGGGCAGCTGCTCATGGGACCCCTCTGCCCCATGTCCCCACCACCACACATGCTCAGCCACCAAAGACACCCTGGCTCCATTTGTCCCCCTAAGTTTGAGGTTTCAGCAGTCACACACAAGCACAGGAAGCAGCTCTCTCCAGTCCTGACAGCACTGCCCTCTGGGGCCCAAGGACCAAGGACAGGTTCTGCAGCAGTACAGAAACCACAGAGACAGTCGTAGGTGGCTCCAGGGCTCGCAGGAAGCTGCAGAGGCCTCACGGAGGAGGTAGCTTGGTCCTGGGACAGCCAGACCCACTTTTGACAGCTACAACCTGTGAGGGTTGCACCCAGGCATGAGTCAGCACCGATGACTCACCAACCATCCCCTGGACCCACTCCTTGGCCTCCCACATGGGGTTCTCTGGTGGCAGCCAGGCCAGGCCCTGGTTCTGGCCTCCTCCTGTTCCTTCTGCCTTCCCACCTGCGTTTCTGAGCCCCTGAGCCCTTTAGAGCCACCCACCTAGCTGAGCACCTGTTTGCAGACACAAAACCACTGGGATTAGAGGAGAGGCAGCATCAGCCGGGTTGAACGGGGATGAGCTGAGGGCAGGGTTGGAGAGAGGCTGCAGGCCAGGGTACCTGTCATGGATGGAACCCTGTCCCCAAATATATACACTGTAGTTCTAACACCTGGTACTTATGAACATGGCCTGGGTTGTATATAGGGTCTTTGGAAAGGTCACCAGTTGAATATGAGGCCACAGGAAGGGGTCCCATCCAATCCAAGGGATGTCCCACCAAAAAGACAGAAGATGGCCACGTGACCACAGAGCTAGGCTGCAGCCAAGAGCCAAGGACCACCCGAGAGCCACCAAAAGTTGGCGGCTTTTTCGGAGGAGGGTGGCCAGGCCAACCCACCAAATGGGAACTGGGCCTCGGGATGGTGAGATAGCACAGTTGTATTCTTAGAAGCCACTCTGTCAGTGGGCCTTTGTCCTAGTTGCTATTGCTAGTGGTGCCGAGCTGATTCTGACTCACGGCAACCCCATGTGTGGCAGAGTGACTCCCTGGGGGTTTCAAAGCTCTGACTTTCCAGGGGCAGGCAGCCAGATCTGCTTTCCCAGCAGCCTCTGGGTAGGTCTGAACTGCCTTTGTTTCAGGTCACCCTCAAACACGTAACCCTTTCTGTCCCACATACAGTAGTGCTTAGACATGAAGCTGGTGCCCACCCTCCTGGGCTATGCCAGGTGGGCAGGGGTAGCTCAAGAATGCCTCCACTGAACCTCTGGTCCCCATAGCCCTCTCTGAGCTGGTGCCAGCTCACAGCATCGAATGCCCATGTCCCTGTGGGGAGGGGCGTCTCAGCATGCACAAGCATATCTGAGTTCTGGGGACTGTGGGACCTGAGCAGGTGTCATTAAGAACTTCCCTGAAATGCCCACAGGACCCATGCTGGCAACCACCACTGCCCTGATCTGGCCTTGACCTCATGGTCTGCTGACCTCCAACCCTGCCATGCCTAGAGGGAGCTGGATGTCAGTGCCAGTAGGTGCCTCAGGTACCCTCCCCACATTTTGTCTGCCCTTGTTCGTCTGTGCCTTCCCCTCACTGGGGCCCCAGCAAGCCCACCTGCCCCCAGCAGACCACAGCGATGGACTTAGTTAGGGGAGGCAGGTGGAGGACCATTATGGGCAGCTCACAGAAATGCTGAACTCAGGGATCCTCAGGGCTGGGCAGGGAAAGTGAGTCCCCCTTGGGGACCCAGGCTCTCAGGAAGGCGTCCCAGACAATGTGGAACAGGATCCAAGAGCTGGCAGAACCCTTCCTTAAATTGGAGTTTCAAAAAAAAAAAAAGGGAGTTTCACCCAAAGGCAGTAACAATGGACAGATGGCTGGCTCCCCACCAAAGAGCACCCCCAGGCTGCCCTGACACAACTTGCTAGCTGGGGGACAAAAGCTTAAGCCCAGAGGCTGGGGTCTGACTTCACCTTCCACCTGCAGGAAGCTAAGACCCCCTCCTCTGACTGCTGGGGACCTCCGCACCCTCTTGGCCTACTATCCTCCAACCAGCGGGGCTGTGCTGAAGAGTGTGAACTGCAGACCTTAGTTAGCAGCACCAGCCTTACCACAGGCACACCTTACCACCTTACCCAGCAGACCTTACCACAAGCACACCAGCCAGCACCTTGGCACGACCAGGGTGGGAGCTCACCTGGCACCTGCTGGGGAGCCAGCTCCGTGGGGTCCTGCAGGCTGATAAAGAGGAGCAGGCCCGCAGCTCCAAACAGGAGGATGAAGGCGAACAGGCAGGCCAGCCGCATGGTGCCGGGTCTCGGGGGCTTCCAGCGCTCGTTCTGAGGTCACCTCTGGGGTGTGGGCGGCACCTCCTTCCCTCATTGTCCACACCAACCGTCCATCAGGCCGAGTCTACAGGGGAGAGGACGAGAAAGACTGTCCACCACTGAGTCACCGGGCGTCCCCAGCTGGGCTGGGCCCCGGCCTGCATATGACCTAAGCGTGACACAGATCCCTCTGGAGTCGAGTGTCCCTTCAGTCTTATCAAAGAAACAAAGGGATGTCTTGTGTCTGGAATCTAGCTCTACCTACCACCCACTGCCACTGAGGGGATTCTGACTCACAGTGGCCCACTGCACCCTAGGGTTTCTGAGGCTGTCCATCTCATAAAACAACAAAAAGTTTTATTGACATGTAATTCACAAATCATACAATTCAATCATCCAAGGCTGTCGATCTGTACAGGAGCAGACAGCCTCCCCTTTCACCCACGGGGTGGCTGGTGGGTTCAAACTGCTGACTTTGCAGCTAGCAGCCCGACGAATAACCAACATTGGGTTATACATATAACCCATATAACCAGCAGGGCCCTTGTATCTGTCTGTGCTCTCAGAAAACCATGGAGAGGGACCCTTGCCACTGGGGAAGGCAGATCACAAACTTGCCCAGGCTCGCTGAGACTCCACCCAAGTCCCACCTAGGACACACGCAGGAACTGGACTCTGTTCTTCCAAATGGCCCTTAGATCTGCCTCCAAAGTGATGCCTTCCTGGGGATGCCGGGGACGAGGAACCCCATGGAGCAGGAGGTCTTGAGAACAAGCCTCCCCACCCCAGAGGATGCTTAGGTACCCACCAAAGCCCTCACCCGGCCACTCGCCGCATGCCAGGGAGAGCGGTCCAAGCACCACTGGATAGATGCACCAGCAGGAGCAGACACAGAGTGACCACTGAGGCCCTCTCCGTCTGCAGCAGCCAGACCTGCCTCAGACCCTGGCCCAGAGGCTGGGCATGCTATCAGCCTTCCCACCCGGGCCCCTCCTAAAGGGCAGAGAAAGAAATCCCAAATGTCAACCCCCAAGCCCCCAAAACCAAGCTCACTTGCCATCAGTCGATCTGATCTGCCCCCACCGGATAGGACAGGGTAGAATGGCCCCATGGGTTTCCAAGACTGTAAGTCTTTCCAGGAGTAGAAAGCTCTGTTTTCCTTCAGGAGCAGCTTATGGGTTTGAACCACTGACCTGGTGGTTAGCGGCCTAATGCCTAGCCCACTGTGCCACCACACTACCCCTCAAAAAAGCACAGAAGTTGCCACCAAATTGATTGTGATCCCTTGACCCCAAGTCCATTAGAGTGGATCTGTGCCCCAAAGAGTGTTTGAGGCTGGGACCTTCTAGCTTTGGATCACCAGGCCCCTCGAGGGTTCAAGGTTCCCTAGGTGGGTTTGATCCAACAACCTTTTGGTTAGTAGCCTAGTGTTTAACTGCCTGCACCATCTCAACACTCACCAGAGACTCCCAACTCGGACAAGCTGTGGGTGTGCAGTGGATGGTGTGTGGGGAGAGGGGTGAGGCATGAAGATGTGGCTGCAGGGGACATCTGGGCTTCACAGGCAGCTGATTCCTACAATCCACTTCCCCTCAGAAAGACCTCCATTTTGGCTCCTTACCTTCATCCAACCCTACTGGCCCAGGGACACTGCCCTCTGTGTACCCATGAAACCCTGCAAAGTCCCCTCCCCAGACTGAGGCCCGGTGGCAGCCCCCAGTGGCCTCTGTGACCACACATCTCCAGACCAGGTGTGCCTCTCTCCACGAGGATGCAGGGGTTCAGCCAGGGACCTGTCCCTGACCTGTCACCTGGGCACGGCTGGAGAAAGCCCTAGCCACTGGCCCCAAGGAGGAAGTCATAGGGAGAGGAGCCCCTGCCTCCCGGGCCCAGGAAAAAAAAAAAAAAAAGTCCGAGGCCTAGCATGTTCCTCAGACAAGCTCAGGGGCTGAGGAGTTAAATTACAGGTTTGGGTTTCTTCCCTCTGCAGTCTCTGTAATTATTTTTTCACTCAGTTAACTTTAATTAACCTGCTCCAGGCCTCAAGGCGCGGAGTGCACTCCAGTGTGGGCGCACTGGGCCATGCAGAGCAGGTGGCTCCCACGACGTCCAGAACGGCTGTGGTAGAGGTGTGCCAAGCTAGTCCAGAGTTCAAGGCTGTCGTGGAGAACAATGTGCAGCCATGCAGCCCCAAGGGCTCAGAGCCTGGTGGCCCTCATGTGGATCCATGGCGCGCCCTCCTTGGTTGCTCTGAATAAGGCCGTCCTGGGGGCTGGGCTTTCTGTTCTTGGAAGGACATGGATACCTGTACCCCCAGCCCCACTGGAGGTCTCTCAGTGTCCCAGTGTTTGCTGTCCAGTGAGTCTCAATGCTGGCAGACCTGCATGGGAGCCCCTCCTGGGCCCATGGGGGCCAGACTGAGGCTCTAGGGAAGAGTGGGTGACTGAAGAGGAGGCAGGATGTCCACCCACAAGCGGTCGGCTTAGCCTGCTTGGAGGGACAGGGAGGAGAGATAAGGGTGGGAATGACATTACACACCAAGGTCCCAGGGTGAGACTCCCTGTGCACGGTGGGCAGGGAGCCAAGGACTTCATGGTACTGCAGTTGCTGTTGTGTGTACTCACACACATACATCCAGATCACACCACGGAGGGGGTCCCACAAGCCCCTGCTCCTGTTGGTTGCAGCCATGCTCACCTCCCGGGACAGAGAGAAGCTAACAAAAGAAAGAAGAAAGAAAAGAAAACACTCACTGCCATCAAGTCGATTCTAACACACAATGGTCCTATAGGTAGTGTGTTAGTTTGGGTAGACTAGAGAAACAAATCCACAGAAACGCATATGAGTATAAGATAGAGTTTTATATAAAGGGTAAGTGTGCATTAAGAAAGCATCCCAACCCAGTGCTGTCCAAGCCCATAAGTCCAGCATTAGCCCATATGTCCTACACCAAATCTACAAAGTCCTCCTTAATCTTACGAAACACATGCAACGACGAAGATTGCAGGAGGAAAGCTGAGTCAGTGAACGTGTAAGCATCTCAGTGCTGGCAGTGGTCTCCACACTGCTGCTCCAGCACCCAGGGCTGCATCGGGGTAGGTCCATGTGGCTTCTCTTCAGGAAGTGAGCCTTGCCAGCTGAAGCACCCTGGTCTGATCATCAGACAGCAAGAGACCTGAGAAGTAGAAAGGTGAGGCTCACTGAGCCATTTATCTCTCTGCCCTTCAATTAATCCCACATGTTTTTATCGGCCAGGTTGGCACAATAAACCTTAACTATCTCAGGCAGCGTAGAACTGCCCCTGTGGGTTTCTGAGGACATAGATCTGTATAGCACAGAAAGCCTCCTCTTTCTCCCAAGGAGCAGCTGGTGAGTTTGAACCACAACCTTGTGGTTAGCAGCCCAACTATGTCACCAGAGCTCCTTAGACAGAGGCCAATTTGATACAAGGTGGCTTCCAACACCAAGATGTTTCAGAACGAGTGAAGAGACATGGCACAATGGGGAAGTCAGAAAGACAGTTTTCCTGGCCCGGTAAAATGGCTACTAACATGCCTCCAAATGGAGGCACCAAGACTCCTTGTGGATGAACAAAGGAGACCTGAGCCCCTGACATCACTGTGTTGTTTGCACCTGTCAGTGCTGCAGAAGGGAATCTTCTCCCCCATCTGGCCAGCCTGTTGCTGCCCCAGCTAGTACAAAACTCCTCCATGGAAAAGCAGACCACCCTGCAGCCAGTGCCACTCGTCCCTGTTTCTGCCCCCACCTAGCCCTCTACCCTAGACACAGGCGCAGGCTAGCATTGCCCAAGTGCATGGCAGCCAGGCCAGGGCACACACCAGGCCAGGAGGCTGCAATCAGCTTCAGAGACCCTTCCCTCCCCTCCCCTTCGGAGACAAGGCCCTCTCCCCAGACCAGGAAGCTGCTTTCATCAAAAAGGAGCCTGCCTGTCCCGGACAACTGGTGGCCCACTGGCTAGTCTGTGGTACCTCAGGAGAGGCCTCCCAGCAAGGGGTCTAGATGATCCTCCTTGCCTCAAAGGTGGAGGAGATGGGCGGTCCAGACTCACTCCAGAATGTGTTCGTGGGAAGCCCGCTTATGCTCTCAAGGTTCTGTTCTGTCAGAGTTCCAGGCTATTTTCAAGGCAGTAGGGAGATGCTAGGAGCCCTGGTGGCATTGGGTCTCTAACGGCAAGGTCAGCAGTTCAGAACCACCAACCAGCACCAATGGAGAAAACAAGACTTCCTACTCCCATAAAGAATTAATCTCAGAAACCCACAGGAGCAGTTCTATCTGTCTTGTAGGTTCCCTCTGAAAGTCAGCATCGATTGAATGGCAGTGAGTTTGTTTGTTTCTTGGAGGGAGATACTAAGGAACCTCAGTGGCATAGTGGATTATGACTTGCCCTGCTAACCACAAAGTTCAGCAGTTCGAACCCACCAGCCACTCCTTGGGAGAAAGACAAGGTTTTCTGCTCCCTCAAAGACTGACAGCCTCAGAAATTCAGAGGGGCCATTCTTGTCTGTCCCAAAGGGTTGCTATGAGTCAGAATCAACTTGATGGCAGGGAGTTGGATATTGATTTTGGCAGAGAGATGCTGGGCCAAGGCAGCCGCTCCCCTGGGAATGGAACTATTGCCTAGGACTGGGGGCTATGACCCTCTAAACACTGGGGCCCTTTCTCTAAACATGGCTGGAGCTCTCCACCCCATCTGGAATCATGCCATTCGCAACTCACAGAGACTGCTCACACTGGATTCCAAGACAAGCGCTTCCTCTGGCACTCCTGCCAAGATGAACAGATAATAAGAAAATTCGAATCCCCTGGGGTGGGGTACAAGAGGAGAGAGGGTTAAGGCAGGAAAAATGAGCAGCCACTTGGGTTTTCAGATAACTGTGCCCTCTTAACCACCTCTAGCTCACCCCACCCTTGTGGCTTCTGGCCCTGAATGGCGTCACCAATTTTTATTTTTTTTTAAATTCAATTAATCTTGTCATCACCTCCTGGGACATGGGACAGAGCCAAGGATTCAGCCCATCTTATTTATTTGATTTTTAAAAATTGTCTCTGGGAAATTCACTTCAG